AATCATTGAGAAGAAGAGAACCATTGAATCCGGCATGGAACCAAGGATAATCCGTGAGATCGATGCGATGCGTCGTCTCCGTCACCATCCCAACATCCTCAAGCTCCACGAAGTCATGGCAACCAAATCTAAGATCTACCTCGTCATGGAGCTCGCCGCTGGCGGTGAGCTTTTCTCCAAGGTCCTCCGCCGTGGCCGACTTCCCGAGTCGACGGCGCGTCGTTACTTCCAGCAACTCGCCTCCGCGCTTCAGTTCTCTCACCAAGACGGAGTAGCTCACCGCGACGTGAAGCCGCAGAATCTACTCCTCGACAAGCAAGGAAACCTCAAGGTCTCCGACTTCGGCTTATCCGCCTTGCCGGAGCATCTCCAGAACGGATTGCTCCATACGGCGTGCGGTACTCCGGCTTACACAGCTCCGGAGGTCATTTCACGGCGAGGATACGACGGAGCAAAGGCCGATGCGTGGTCTTGTGGAGTAATCCTATTCGTTCTTCTCGTCGGAGACGTTCCTTTCGACGATTCGAACATTGCAGCCATGTACAGGAAGATTCACCGGAGAGATTACCGTTTCCCGAGCTGGATCTCGAAACCAGCCAAATCGATCATCTATCAGATGCTCGATCCGAATCCCGCGACGAGGATGAGCATAGAGACCGTCATGAAAACGACCTGGTTCAAAAAATCCCTAGAGACTTCCGAATTTCACCGCAACATCTTTGAATCGGAACCATTTCTGGAGAAGGAAGCGAAATCCAGCATCGGTTCGATCACAGCGTTCGATTTAATCTCGCTTTCGTCGGGGTTAGATCTCTCCGGATTGTTTGAGAGTAGGAAGAAGAAGGAGAGGAGATTCACAGCTAAAGTTTCCGCCGTCGAAGTAGAGGAGAAGGCGAAAGCAATTGGGGAGAAACTAGGATACGCAGTGAAGAAGAAGACGAAGAAAGAAGGAGAAGCGAATATAGTCGGATTAGGAAAAGGAAGAACAGCGATAGTTGTGGAGGCGGTGGAGTTAGCGGCGGATATTGTGGTGGTTGAAGTGAAAGTCGCTGAAGGTGAAGAAGAAGATTCACGGTGGTCCAATTTGATTACAGAGCTTGAAGAAATAGTTCTCTCATGGCACAATGACGTCATGTAAATACTTTGTGACGTGTGAACATTAGCTTTTTCTTTTTGTTGGTTTCGCTTTTTTTGTTTTCAATTTTTGTATAATCATGAAGAAAAAGTCTCCCGCTTCAAAGATTTACAGTCTTTTAAACCGTTTTTTCATATATACATTTAGACACAAACAATCTACCAAAAAAAACTAAAGCTCATCACAATCTTCGTTATTACTTTGAATCCCAACAAGAGAAGAAAGTGTCGAGATCCAAAGATCTAAACCTCTCTTCATCTCTTGTTTCCTAACTTCTTCGATCTTACGAACAGCTTTCTTCGACATCCCAAGCTTAATCAAAATGGTTCCAAGAGATTTAAACGTCGAGTCATCAGGTTGGATTCTCGACGAAACCATCTCTTTGAAAGTCTCGACAGCTTCTTTGAATCTCCCGTCCAAAGCGTATAAACCAAGAACACTGTTGTAACTCAAAGGATCACTGAGAATCTTCATCTCTCTCATCTGTTTCGCTATCTGAGTCGCTTCTTCGAACCTACCGTTCTTCTTGTACATACACAGCATCATCGCGAAACTGAACTCGTTCGCTTCTCTTCTCTGTTTCATGCTCTCGAATATCGCTTCAGCTTTTCTCACCATCGATCTCTCGCTGTATAGATTGATCATACAGTTTGACGTATATACGTCTGGATACTGAGTCTCGTTACACGATTCGAGAAGCTCTCTGTATATAGCTTCAGCTTCGATCAAGTACCCGACTTTAGTGTAGAGCTTGATGAGAGAGTTGGATACAACAGAGTTTCCTGAGATCCCAGCTTCTTTCATCGCTTCTACATAACTCATAGCTTCTTGAACGTTTCCTGTATCCGCAAAAGCATTGATCAAGACTCCATATACAACAACGTCAGGCTCTATGTTGAAGTCAACCATCTCTCTATACACTTCCTCTGCCATATTTAGCTGACCAAGTTTCACAAAGCTCGATATCACAGCGCAGTACGGTATGCAATCGCTTACGTAACCGGTCTCTCTCATCTTCTCCAGGTAGGATCTGGCTTTCTCAGGCATGTCAGAGCTCGCGAGAATCTGAACGAGAGTGTTGTATGTACATTTATCCAGTGTGACGCCATAACTCATCATGCTCTCGAATAGTTCACACGCCTTCTCGCAGCTTTTACCGATTCCATATGCTTTGATCATCACATTGTACTCAATAACTGTTACCTTATTCACTTCTTGGCAGCAGATGAACACTCTCTCGGCTTCTGATAGATATCCACGCTCGCCATAGGCATCGATGTTGGCTGAATATCCTTCAGAGCTCATGTTACCCGCAAGATGAAACCTTTGGAACCAAGACCATGATTTCTCAAGCAATTCCGCTTCTATATACATTCTAGTGAGAGCAGATTGCGTATACTCATCGATCTCAACATTATTATCATCCATCTCTGCTACAAGCTCTTCAGCTTCCTCAACCATATGTCTTATCGAGAATGCATAGAGGAGGGTTCGGTAACTTACAGGGTCCGGTTTAAGCCCAGCGCTTTTCATTTCCTTGAAGTAAGCCCCTGCTCTTTCAATATCGTTGTTCTTCGTGTGAAGCGAAATGAGAATGTTGTATGTTCTTGTATCAGGTAAGCACTGAAGCTTCATCATTTTCATCAAGGAAGTCACTTCTCCAAGCTGGCCATTGTTACCATACATATGAATCATGGTGTTAAAAGTCACTGTGGTTGGAACAATCCCTTCTTCCAGCATCCTCTTGAACGTCTCTGAAGCCTCTTTTATCTGACCGGACTTGCCGTACGTATCAATCATCGTGTTGTAAGCGTAAGAGCTCAAGCAAACATGTGATTCCACATTGTTGTCTTTCACGCTCAACGTCCCAAAAGATTTGCCACAGGACCATTTCTTGAAAAAGTCCTCTGCTTTTTGAAACTCTCTTGCCTTCTTATACATTTGAAGAACAATCCCCGTCGTGACTTCGTCGGGTTGCATCCCAATCTTGCTCATCTTCCCTAGCCAACAAAGGGCGTGTACTTTAAGCCCGCCTTTGCTATAGACATCAATGAGAGTCCCATACGTTGAATTAATCGGCTTGATGCCTTTTCTGATCATTTCATCCCATAGACTCTGCACATACCTCCATTTACAAGCTTTCCCAAGAATCCGAAGCATGATGTTATAATGAATCACGTTCAGCTCATAGCATTTTTTGCTCTTAAACCACTCGAAAATCTCCACGGCTCTCTCCCACCGTGTCTGCTCCTTCAGAATAATCGTCCTCTCCTTGCTGCTAAGCCTCTCCGCCCACGGGATCAACGCACTTTCGACATCGTCGATGCGATCCAGAGCCTCTAAAATGGCGGGAATGCATCCTCCGTAACTCAGACCTTTCGTCGAACACTTGGCGTGCGCTTTGCCTTTCCCACCAAATCCGGCATCTCCGGCTCTCTTATCAACAAACCCATCAGTGCTCCTTGATTTTCCGACGCGATTGTCACCTGGGTTCACAATAATTAAGTTTTTTCGGGCGATAACTTCATGGGCAACAGTACCGGTACCTCCTCGGTCGCAGTGTCTGGTGCTTCTATGGGTTGCTCCCTTGTCACTGTCGTGGGTTCCCGGTACGTAATTCTGCTTCACTTTCTTGAAATTTGGGAATTTATCGAGAGGGAAGATCGGTAAGGTTTTCGTCGAGCAAAGAACATGTAAGCTACTTCCATCGAGACGAAGATTCAACAACATTTTTCAGCTGCAAAGAGCATTTAGTTTATTCACGAGAGAAAAAGGAACGGTTTTGCACCGAAAAATTGCAACGGAGGTGTTTACTTCTAAGGCGAATGTGAATTTCTGTAGAATTTCCGACGAGAATTTGTTTTATGGCAAAGTTGCAAATGTGGATATAATTTCGCGCGCACTCGTTCCTTTTGTCCGATCGAAAAGAGAGAGACACACTTTGGGTTGAATTTGTAATTTCGTAATATTGTAGGCCCTTAAAAGGTATGGGCATAAAAATCAGATCCGAAGATCCACCCGAACCCGATCCAAATTTATGGAACCAAACCGAACCGAAATGATATAAATACGAATGGAGTCTTCACATCTATATTTGAAGAATCGGTACCGTATCCAAACCAAACGGGTATCCAAAATATCAAAAAAAAAATATATATATATATATATAACTTCAATAATTGGATATTTTATTATTTTAATCTAAATAACCAAAATATACAATTATTTAAGTTATATATATCAAAATTCAATACTTTTAACAAATCTAAATTTTTTTAAAAAGTTTTAAATAAATTTCAGAAAATTCAGATATCTGAAACCAATCCGAATCCGACAAGAACCGAACCGAATCTGACTCAAAAATTAAAAATAACCAAATGGGACTCATAACATAAAACTGAAGTAACTAATATCCGAAAAACCCAATCTGAACCTGAATGGGTATCCAAATGCCCATGTCTACATAGTTAAAGGGGAGCAAAAACTGTATGCCGCTGAAGTTGTTTTTCTTTTCTCAAAGGAAGTCCTTATTTTGTTTTGTCTTTCCAAATATTCCCAAAATTTCATCATATGTACGTAAGGAACAACTTAAGGTTTAGCCATGGTTTGTGGATGGTCATTTATGACCAAATTTTATATCAGACATCATAGTCTTTTGCATATCATTGGTGGAGATGGCTATTGAAAAACTTGATAATCAATACTATAAAAACAGTAGAGAACACCTCGTATAAATGAAAAACCAATCAAAATAAAATATTAATACATATTATTTATTAATTTTTATTATTTTTAAATTTAAATTTATTGAAAACAAATATATTTTTTTGGTAATTTTTGTTTTATTTTTTTCCAAACCGGCCATTACAAAGTTCAACTAATCCTCCACTTCTATCAGCTACCAAAATCTCTTCATTTTTCTTACACCCTTGCCTCCAATAATTCTAGTCTCAGCTCAAGTTAGAGCTTTGATCGACACTTGGTGGTGGCTATCACAAAAAAGAACCTTCACTTCTTTTCTATGTATATCCCTCTTTACATTATTGATCTGATATGTTGTTTCAATGTTCCCTTACTCCAGCGCTGGAACTCCACCCAAATTCTGCGATTTCGAAGCTCAAAGTCATTGAATGGAGATAACCACAAGTCTTCCTGCTATCGATTGGTACAGAAATGGCACAACGATCTCACTTGCTAGAGAATTGATTATCCTCTTTTGATTGCTTACCAGAGTTACATCCATGGAATTTTCCTCCAAATGGTTGATCCAGCTTCTGTTTCTCTCCTCGTCTCTCATGGTCACGAGTCTTATCTTGGGCAAGCTTCAAAAAAACATATTGCTACTACACAAGTCAAATCATGCTTGATCTGATCTTCACAGAGATCAAATGTTAGAATCTAGCTATGTGTTTCCACATTCTCCTTTAATTGTTGTTCCTCTCTCTCTCTCTCTCTCTCTCTCTCTCTCTCTCTATCGCTCAATTTACAGTTTTTCTAGTCCATCGCCAAGCTCATTCAGAGATCCTTACTCTTCCTGATGACTTGAGCTTTGATAGTGATCTTGGCGTGGTTGGTGCCCAGAAGTTTTTCAAATTCCCCTGGTGATTTTTTAGGCGATTGATCAATTGCTTATCTCAATTTCAATTTCAGTTTTGATATAAATATTTTTAACCTCAATTTGTTTTACCTAATTCCTATGAATATTATTCAAGCAAGGGATCATGCTTTGTTTGTGGCCAAATGGTGGAAAAAAACCCCAGCGTTTCCTTAAGATACACACACAAGGTATGCCATTTCTATTCAAATTTCCAATTTTTAGTAGAGCTTCTTTTAATCTTCAATATATACAGAGATTAATAGTTTCCTATGTTGTTTGCTGCTGTTTATATTATGCGTTTATCTGATTCAATTACTACGTTCACCTATTTTGCTGGGTCGAGCATTGTAATATGTGTTTCGGCTGATTCATATGTGAAGAAGAAGCAAAGGAAAAGATTGTGATCTCTCTCAGTTTCATGCTCAGCTTGACGCCATAAGGCTTAAGATAATCCAAGTTTGTGATCGATTTGATTGTGTTTGAATTGTTAGATTGACATGGCTTCCTCTTCACAGAGCACTTGCCGATCAATTAGAACTTACAAGGCAGTGAGGATGAACACAGCCAGTATTGTAACATGGTTGTACAGTATGTGGTAAGTGCCATTTTGTTTGAAACTTGATTTTCTTTTACAAGTCCTATATGTATATACACTCTCAGTTTTGTGATATGGATTTTACAGAAAAACCGTGAAATGTTTGAGCCTTTTATCGAAGATGATGTTCCATTTGATGACTACTGTAAAAACGTGGACGGCGATGGAACTTGGGCCGGGAATATGGAACTACAAGCAGTTTCTTTTGTCACACACAGCAATATATGTTTCCACAAGGTAATTTTCTAGGCCATAAATTAAGATATATGTGAGGATCATAACTGTAAAACAGTTGGAGAATTAACATGTACAATACCTACTTTTGTTCATATTTGTTGTAGATCATGTCACCGCGTTGGTATATACCAACTTTGAAGATGCTAGAACTCGCATGATCCATCTATAAGTACTCGATTCTTTTGATCACCTCCTAAGATGGAAACGGTTGAGTTTTTTTTCTACTTAGAATCTCTTCTTACAGGTCATACCACGATGGGGAACATTACAACAATGTGCGTATGAAGGAAAATGCTTGTGGAGGAGGACCAACCAGGCCTGTTGTAATAAAGGTTTTTACGGGAAAATGGTCGATTTCAACCTGAACTAAATCAGTCGTGCTCTTTCATACACAAACTATTGAACTATGTGTTTTCCTACCTGATCTTCTATAGAATCTATTTGGTGCAGAAATCAGAGTTGACCGTAATGGTGTTAGTCAATCGTTAACTCCAACTAAGTCAGATAACGAAAAATGTCAATTTCAGCCGGAACTAAACCAGTCATACCCTTTCATATATATATATATATAATTGAACCATGCATTTTTCTGCCCAAATCTCCATGAAATTAAAATTACATATCCAAACTATCTATTTCGTGTGAAAATAAAAAGATGCAAATGATTGTATTATTTTTTGTCAACAAACTCCATATATTAAATCAAATTATACAGGTATGGTTATTCAACCAATCCGATTAGTTATAATCTACATGGGATAAAATTAAACTTTGTTTACGTGCTCTTTTCGCAAGGCGATTGGCACGAATGTTTTGTAAATAGAGAATAAATCGTAAATTAAAAGAGACAAATTTTGATCGCAAATCATCCAAATAATCTAGTTTTGATATGAAGATGGGCCAATCGATTGGTTCGTCCACCATCTTTACCAAGTCTAAGCAATCCGTCTCGAACCCACCGACATGCACCCCTTCTCTTGCAGGCACAACATTGCCTAAAGGAAGCCTTCCACTTCTGTATGAAGAGGCGGCAGTCACCTTCAGCACCCCTTTGAGCTAACCCATCTGCTTCTCAAGCCATCTTCAATGTACCACCCTAATCTGTTGGTCGGTCCATGGTCTATCCAGGATAAAAAAATGCAAATGATTGTATATTTAGAGGAACAAAATCTGGTGAAAAGATTCTTCTAAATTTTATCATTTAAGTTGAAAATTATTTCAATTCATTCCATTACAAAAAAGTTGAAAAATGTTTCAACTTATTCCTCTACTATTTGAGAGAGAGAAGAACTCATTCTTCTAAAATTCAACTCATTTTTTCAATTATTTATTCTACTGATATTTTTAGTAGCAATCATTTGCACCTAGAGTTGGCCGTAACAGTGTTAGTCAATCGTTAACTCCGAATGAAATCGTTAACTCAAAACGAGGTAATTTCTTGGTTTTTATAATCATTGGAATTGTTCGATAAAGTATAGAATCCAGTTGTTTAATTAACCTTATTGTAAAGTTTGTAAGTATGTATCACGACTCGATTTTCCTCCAATTATCTTAATAATTCATCATTGACCCACTTTCTCAAATTGTAAAACTATATTTTGTTTTCACATGAAGAGTGAAAAATGAAGAAAATGAAACCTGAAAGCCATAATATTACTTTATTTTCCAAATAAAAACAATGTCGTTTTGTGTTTAAAATTGTGAAACATCAAAACCATGTTGTTTTAAGACTATTCGACCAAACTTCATCGTCAACATCGCACCTTTGTGTCTTCCAACTCAGTCGGAATTAACAATATATAGTCTGTGTAGATAATTTAAAGTTTATGGGGGTTTGACTAGGAAAATTCATGGTATAATTGTATATGTATGAAAGGGCTCTTTTCTATCATCTGACTCAGCCAGAGTTAACAATTGACTAACACCGGTCAACTCTGATTGCCGCACCAAATAGATAGTGTGGGTAAGTAATTTGAGTTTTATGAAAGTGTGGATAGAAAAACGCACGGTTCAATTGTTTTTACTTATCAAGTTTATGATCATCACTAATCATTCAATGCACCACCAAAGACTTTCACAAAGTAAGAACGTTGACATGTTTTTAGTATGCCGTAGTGTTGACATCAAGCCCCACGCTATGATTAATGAGCTTGGGGAAATCTATTTGCTTAGGTTCACGTTTGAGCCGAGAAAAGGCTCCATCAAGATCAAATTTCCAGCTTGTGCGATTCAGATATGAAAATCTTGCATAAGTTGTGATTTAGTCCACACTTTACTTAATTCAACCATACTTTAGGACCTGAAACCAGAGGAAGAATATTTGAAAAGCCATACAAATTCTCTTCAAGGTAATTGGATTTGACAGTCGTTGTTGCCGGTTACGACTCTGCCGGTAAAGCCTCCAGCTTTCATCCTCTTATGGCGGAATTCGCGAGGTACTCTTTTCCTAATTTGATCTTATGTATTTGTTTTTGCTCCTTTCTCTTTGGTTATTATTGATTGAAATCAGGTTAGGCATATCTAACTTGCAATTTGCGTCAGTTGTTTTGAGCTTAATCATGAGAACATAGTTGATAGCTTCAAATCTCTTTTGTTAGTCTTAATAGCTGAAAAATAGAAAGGAACACATGTTTCATTCAATTCTAAAGCTTTATATTTCAGCTAATCATAAATTTGCTTTTCAATCTCTTTTAAGACTTTGTTGGCTTCCCTTTCTAGAATGGTTGATCGATTTTTGAGTATTTTCCTGTTCCACTTAAAGTGTTTGCACTTTGAGAAGTTATATATGAATACATAGCACTCGATTCCCAAGCATAAATTTATAGAACTCAAATTCATTCCCAAGCATGGCTAATAGTTATTTTATACCTTTCATCTTCTCCTATATTTTTAAAAGTTTCATCCTCTGACGAATCTTACAAACCTATTCTCCTTTTATGAGCTCACTTCTGATGAAATTATTGTTCCTTCTAAATAAATTTCAGGTGGAATGAGTCCTAAGTCATAACTACATAACCTGATCTCCAGAAGTTGCTGATGTTGGTTTGTAAGAGGAAGAAGATACGGCCGTGCGACACAAGGAACCAAAGACTGCTGCAAAGTATAAGGCCATGAATTTAGAGTCAGAGATGATGATATCACCATACCAACATTATTTTTTTGTGTAGGTTGATGCATAGAATCAGAAAGATGCAAATAGTTGCTTGATTTTATACAATTGGGAGGTGAAACTGTGTGGTCTATGAAAAAATGTGTAAAAAAAAATTAAAAGAGAAAAGTGCATAGCTATCAACGAGATATTTTATTTTCTCCATTTTCATTGATTTTTTATTCCATTGCAATTTAAAAAATTCATGTAATTCGGAAGTTGCCTTATAAATTGTTAAATACATAAAGTTTCAATGTGTACGCTTTTCCACAAATAAAATTTCTAACAGTTTTAAGAGACCATTCGCTCTACACCTCACCAAACTTTATTGAGTTTCATATGGTATTCATTCATATTGTAAACAGTTGTAATTTCCATGATCAAAATAGATAAAGTAAAGGGAAAAGAGAGAGTCAAGGAAGCATATAATAAACAGTACACCAAAGGCGAAGACTAACAAAACTAATGAGAGAGTGAAGGATATGAAAGTGTATTTTGCTCTCTCCTTTGGGATGAACAAAAAGATTTCATTTATTATGTTCCGTGATTTTTAAAAGGAAGAAATAGTAAAAAAATTCAAGATTTTATATTTATAATCTCGATTAAAATAAACTAAAAGTGTTTTACATTCTTGAGTTATTCAAGAAGAATTGATATGGATCAAATTAATATGTTTGTTATCCAAATAGATTTTTAGACTAAATTAGAAAACAAATATCTATGTGAATATTAGAGTTATCATAGACCTTCGTGCCTAACAAATTGAATCACAAATCTTCATGCCTTAGGAAAAAAAAAGATCTTCACAACAAAAAGCAAAGCTTTCAAGATGTATAAGATTATGTTGTTACAAAAATAAAAATATTTTTTCACTGATCTATTTTTGTTTATCTCCAAATTGATATCTATGCGATATAGAATAAGGAAAAGTTTTTGATAAAAGAGAAGAAAAAGAAAGTTTTATCAAGAATTTTATACCAAAAATATAAATAATTAAGAGAATCGGAAAATATGATCTATACTAAATCTATGGGAATTGTTGTTGTTAAATGCACTACTTTATTGATTTTGTTTATTAGACAAACGTAGGATCATTGAATATATATTTTGTTTGTGCTGTATAATATTTAAAAAAAAATCCAATTAAAAGAATTGAAGAATTAGCATAGAAGTTTGCAAAGATATTAGATTGAATAGAGATACACAAAAAGTCGAAGAAAAAATTATTGAAAATAAAGTATATAGATAGTAAAAAGAAAAATATGATAAATTTAATTGTTAGATTGATTTCTTAATCGCTTAATAATTTTTTCTTTGCTGATACCGGCTATAAATTTATTTTTATAATGTGATTAGGTATTTTTAATTAAATGAAAATATGTATACATAAGATGATAACAACTATCAAATCAACTTAGACAAAATATATATAATATATAAAAATAAATATTGCTATTTTTATGTATAAATTATTTTTATGACATGGTATCCCGCATCATAGCATGGATTTAAACCTAGTATCATCAAAAGATGTTTTACTTGAACTGATACTCTAATTAAACCTAATTGATAAATAATTTTCTATATTTTTTATTAAGGAAATCATAAACAATTTTTTTTTAAAATCTAAATGTATTTTCCTCTTTCTAATTGAATTTAGATTTTTGGATTGAAATATTTTTTTAGATAAAAAATAGAAAAAAACTGAATACTAACGATCGTTTAATGATTATATAATGTTTGTCAGTTAGAAGAGGTTTAATATTTTTCTGGCGTTATACTTAGGAAAAAATATTATATTTCTAAGTATTCAATTTGAAAATTTAAAAATTAATAGCTGTTTGCACAAAATTCCAAAATAAAAATTTAGAAATTTTTGACTATTGTGATTTAGTTTGAAAAACGTATATTTATATAGATTTGAAATTTGACGTGTGTCGTTTTAAAAAAAACAAACTGTATTTATATAGAATAAAATCTAGAGGAAATCTATTGTAACCTATGAAACTTTTTAAAATAGGTAAAATTATCTATTAGTAATATTTTATTTTATTTTATTTTTTTTCCCACTGATAAAGTATTTCACAAATGTTGTATGAATGACACATTGCTGTTTAACATTCTTGATATATCTATATATAAAATGGAGTAGAGTAGTGACAACCAGAGCAACAAATAAAACATAAAAAAATGAGTCGCAAAAATTTTGAAATAAAAGACATTGAGAATAAGAGTTCAGAGCAAGAAACTTTTTCTCGACACCTAGATGGTCTGTTTGGAGAGGCTGATGCACTTGCGAGGCTGTGTAATGTCGATGTGGGTATCTTGATCGACTCTCCTACTGGGCAACCGTACATGTTCGGAAGTCCATGCTTCAACTCTGTGGCTGCACGTTTTCAAAACCCTTATCCGAAGAGATCAAAAAGATCATCTCCGTCCTCGGTGAGGCAAGCTAGGATTCTTAAGAGTCAAGTTAAACTTGATCATCTCACAGGTGAATTGGAACGATGCAAAGAGACTGAGAAGGTTAGTGTCTAACTGTTGATAATTATTGTATCGTTGTTTTTGTGTAATAAATATGATTAAAATAAAGAAAAATAGTTACGATTTTATAATCAATTTTAATAATAATAATAATAATAATAATTGAATCTGGTTGTTATCGAAATCATCCTACTAGTAGATTTTAATATTGACATATTTCATTTATCATTGAATTGTGAGAGAACTTGAAGTGGAAGGTTGAACCTATTATTCTTTTATTGTATATATAATTTACAAATAACTAGTTTTGTTTCTCATGAATTATAGTTTTTGAAAAGACAACTAGAAACCCTTAAAAGTTACTGTGGGAAGAAGACTATAGATCTAACTTTGGAGGAGCTAATTGCCTTAAAAAAAAAACTTGAAGTTGTTCGAGATAATATGAAGCATAACAGTATGGAGATGGAAGAAGCTGCTTGATGCTCTCAACAATAATAAGATGAACTGAATAAGAAGAAAAGTAATAATAATATCTAGTATTATATATTGTACAAGATCAATCGTTGTTTATTATTTTCTTGCAAAAAGTTATAAAATAATTTCGGTTGGTGTAATATTTGAAACAAGTCGTTTTGTTTATCTTTTCGTCATGTTAATTAGATTTTTATAATGAATTTAGTTTTCTATTTATTATGAACACTACTTTCATGCGTTTTTGATGAGTTTTGTAACGTTTCAGCCGACTCTATCAGTGGGATTCATTCCTGTCTGACGGTTGATGTGTTAGCAGTAGACTATACTCCTGTTCGATGGTCGATGTGTTAGGCGAGAGATTTGAAAGTCTACTGACTTTGTAATCCCTACGCAATTTTTCCTGTGTTTTGTTCTTATTTACACGATAATAAAAATCCCGTCCAAGTAGATCATCCATTCTAATGTTATTCCAGTTCAAACAGGTTTAGTTTTGGAGTTCTTCCAGGACAAATGACCAAAAATACAAGTACAATTTGGTAACATAGATATTCAAATCAATGATTTTAAGCCTCTACATATATATATTCATATTTCTGAAATTTGAATGTTACAATTCATTTTTACTCAAAGCGCAACGTTCTTGTTGCGCACCAAGGCCGTCATTCCCGATGGTGTGAGCCTTTGTTGCTCCAGATTATCGTCTTGGTTTAGCTCTGATATCACTTGTAACACCTGGATGGACTCTATGAGTGTGCCTTTACCTCTCTCGGCCCATGGGACCCATATCTGTCCGATGGCGGGTGCGTTAGCTAGGAGGTTCAAAAGTTGATTCTGCAATCATCACGCAATCTTTTCCTGTGTTTTGTCTTCACTCACATGATACCCAAAACACTTCCCGATAAGTCACATATCTTAATGCAACTTCAACTCAAACACGCTTAACATTTAGAGTTTTATCAGGACAAATAACCAAAAAGATAAATACATTTTGGTGATATAGGTAGTCATATTCATATTCTTATAAATATTTCCATATATATATATATTCATATTCTTAAAATCGTGATATTACAGTTTCTTTAAAGTTTAATATATATTTTGAGTGCTGACTTAAACACTTTTGTTGTTGTTTGCTATTATTACTTTCACGGTTCTACACATTAGGTTATACATTTTTCTTTTTGCGAAAGAGTGTATATATCTCTATTAGTTTATAATAAATCTATAAGTTTTTTAATGGTTAAATGTTTTGAGTTATACTTTTTTTTATATACTCTATCGGTCAGCTTTGGTAGGAACATGCCAAACTGTTTCAGTGTGGACTACTCCCTGGTTCAATGGTTTAATGAACACCATAAGTTCCGAGCGGGCTCAGTTCCATGAGATCTATGGAGCACCACTCTGTCTGTTTCGAATTTGGAATGCCTTCTGACTAATGTTAGTGGATAGCTGAATCGCCTATTACAAGACTATCATGTTAATTGTATGGACCTTTGACATAAACCCAAACTTTCCACACAAAAGTGATTTTTTTTTTTAGGGAGATTCGAACCCCGATGAAGTAATGTAACACATTTTTAAGCTTTAAGTTTTACTATAACCAAAATGTATTATTTAATTATTATAATAGATTATTATCTCTTATATTATATAAAAGACAGAGAAACAAAGAAAGATAAATTCGTTTTTAAAAAAATTTTTATTGATTTATCATAGAAATTCTACATATTCTAACAAGAAAGATGGAAAACACTTACCAAAAAAAAAAAAGATGAAAAACATGACATTATTTTATTATTACAACAAATTTTAAATTAGTTATTCCATAAAAGCTTTGAAAGAATAAATACTAGTACTGATTTTTCTTTCACTCGTCAACCAAGAGCATTGATTAAGATGAGGATCCCTTCGTATTAGAACTGTTTAACAGTTTGAGCGTTGCGTTGAATAAATTATCCATAACCTTTTTCTTTTCAGCGTATTCGATCATTTTCTTTTCCAAATCCTAAATTTAATAAAAGCTTAACTAATATTTTGTACACAAAAAACGTAAAATATAAAGTTATAAGAGTAATATGAACATTTACCCTCAACTGATCATCATCTAATTTGATGTTTTTTAACACGATTGAGTTTACTTTTAATCTCGAGAATCTCAGCCTGTGTAAGAACCATTTCTTGATTTTTTTTTTTTTTTGTTTTTGTTTTTTATAGAGAACAAGAGTAATATATATATATATATATATATATGGTTTTTCCAATTCTTCTTATTTATTCTTGTTAATGCTTGAACCTTAACTAATAGGAATATGCTGTCAAGTTTAAAATATAACTAAATATTTTAAAAGGAAATTAATCACATATTAATATATGGTATTCTACACTATTTTTTTCATCTATTTTCTCTTTTTTTTTAAAAAAAATAAACTATTTATATATATCAAAGCGCTTGTAGTGTGATAAAAAATATTTCTATGTATTAAAGGTATGATAAAATATATTTCTATATATTCACATAAAGCGTGTAATAGTTTATATTTTGAAAAAATTACATACTATAGATTTTGTTATCTTATAGAACTTTTACCATTTATTATAACATATTGTGAAAATAATAATAATATTTTTGAAGTCCGACTACAATTCTTGGTTTGGATAATATATAAAGATTAACCACATATCAATTTATTATATAACTGATTTACTAGTAATAATAAAAAGATTCGGGGGACTCATATGATTTTGTGATTTATGGAGATTTTTGTCTTTTCGAATGTCTGTTTGTGATGCATTCTTGTAGTTTATTTTGTGTAGATTGTAAATAAATAATGTGATCCACATATGATATAAGTTGGGATAATGTAGATTTTTTCATATTTCAATGTATATTTTTCATATTTATTAGAGAGTACATATAAAATCATATATATATTTAACAAGTTATCTCTCCATCTAAGGTGTCCACATCAGCATAATTTTTATTTCAAAATGGGCTTTTAAATATTTTGAGTTTTGTTTTTAAGTTTTTATATTTTGGAAATTTATTTTTGGGCTTTTAATATAATTAATTTGAAATTAAAAACAAATACTTATTTTACTAATCATAAAAATTATAAATTCTTCATTTGTGAAAAGGAGTTTGGAAGACAACCAAATACAAAAGAATACAAAAAAACTTACAGAATATAACTCAAAATTTATAATAAAAAAGCCTTAGAAAGATTTATATATAAAGCTAAAGTAAAATCATTTATATCAAACAAATACTTACTTTAAAAACTATAAAAACTTCAAATTCTATTTAAAATAAAAAATTCAAAATGTTATTTTGAAACAAAATTTGAAAAACAAGTTGGAAAGTGAACAATTACAAAAGATGATAGAAGAACTTGCTGAGAATAGTTATCAAACTTATTTATAAAGTCTTAAAAATAGTAATGCTTAAAACTAAAGTAAAATCATTCATATCCAATATATTGTGTAAAATGAATGAAAGTTTTTGATAAATAAAAAAAAATAAAGTGTTTAATCATATAGCATAGAAATGATTTTGATTTATACGATGGAGGAAAAAAATGGCAAATACTTACCAATAGTAATATAAAATTGATATTCGATCACTTTACTCATCAACTGGATAATATGAATTTAATATAAAATGTATTAAGAAACTTAAATAAGATTGTTGATTATACTTTTTAACATAGTCATGTTGTTTATATTCACATAGCATGAAAATAGACAAAAATATTCTCACACACATTCACAAATATAGTCACGTAGTTCATCATTGAAAAAAGGAAACTCCTCAAATCAATTAAAATCAATAATTTATCAAGTAAGCATAATTTGCTGATATTAAAACCCATCAAATATATGTAATATTTGAAAAGATATCTTGCTCTATCTAGCCAACTCTAACTAAAACTCTCCTCATTTAGATTTATAACTGATCATAGAACTCAATGAAATGGAAGCTTGCATGAGATAAGAGAAAAAAAATCAGTAGATTGCAATCAGAATAGCAAGACTACGACCTATAAAAAATGGGAAAAAATAAAAGACTAATTGTGCTTGAAAATGAGTTAGATTTTTTGAAAATCGATAAAAAAAATTAAAAAAATATTTAGTTTAGAATGGAGAAGGATCGATGATGATTTCACTTTGTTAATCTATGAAAATAAGATGTAGAAAAAGAAGAGAAATCAATTAAATACAAATAAAGAATAAGAACACATATAAATACATATTGCACTATATAAATATATGAAATATTTTTTCAACAATGAATATATCACAATCTATATTAAAAAAATAAAAGATAAAAATAACACATAATACTATTAATTTATTAAATATATATAATAATATAAATGTATCTAATTTTAATTAAATAAATAAATAAATCTGCGTAATGCACAGATAAAAATCTAGTTAAGAATTAATTACTAAAAGGGATGTGGTCAAAAAGAATCATCAGTAGATTCAACTTTTGGGTAGCAGCAACAGAGAGAGTCACCATATTCAGTTGTTCGACAAATTCCACTTCTGTGACCCGTTGATTTGCATTATTCAATGCACATCGGTGTTCCACTACATCCCACTGTACACATATCATATAGTTGGGTAGTTTACGAAGTGGTTTATAAACTTGCCCTAAAATTTTTGGGATTTGGGAAGGGAATTTAGGGATACGGGATGGAAACGGAAAATTTGGGAATTGAGAAATGATTCCCATAAGGGAATCCAACAAAAATAGAACGGGAAACTACGGGTACGGGACGCGAATCTGCGGGTATGGGACAGGAACAGAAATCCCAAACTCTCAACTTAAAGACATATATTTATTTAATAGAAAATTTGGGAATTTTTGAGATTTTTTTGGGAATTTTCAGAAATTTTCGGAAATTTTCAAACAATTTCAGGAAATTTTAGAAAATATCGGTAAAATTCAACAAAATTCGAAAAATTATGTAATTTTTTGAAGTATTAAAATTTTAAACGGGAATTCAGGTTCCCGATCTGATTTCCTTACCATTTTTCGTACCGTTTGAATAAAATAAATGATCTCGAACGAAAATTTTCTTAAACGGGAAAGGGAACGGGACAGAAAATTTAAAACGGGTACGGGTGGGAATCGGGTATCCGTCCCCAAATTTTCAGGGCCTGTACACAGTAAAAAAAATTATACAGTTTTAAGATAATTCAATTAGTTTTTAGTTTTCTTTCTCACCTACAACCAGATTATTTTGTTCTTTTTATTTTTCTGAAAATATAAAATAATTTTTTTAAAGCACACAATTTTATGCTTTTAAAAATTTTACAATTATACATCAATAAAGTCGTTAGTGATGGGTTTAACACCCCTTGCTAAAAGCCCTTCATAAATTAAAAAAATGCTCATTTGAAGTCTTACCTCCGCCTCCAGAGTTAGGTTGGTTCTGAAATATGGAAATATTTCGAGATTCATTCAAATCGCGGAGGAAACGGAAATTATATCCCAAGAAGCAAAAAAATTATCCTTATCCCGGAAGAGAAGGATTCGGCATAAGGCGGTCCGCGACATCTATATAGGGAGAGTCCCCTCCTTCGAAGATCATTCATTCACAACTTCGTACTCGAGACCTAGGGCAAACAATAGCTTACTGCTTTCAGCTTTAGATCCCAGTTCTTTTCTCTTAAAGTTTTAGGTCGACGTTCTTTTCCGACGACCTAAAATTCTGTACTCTTCGAGCTCCGGCTAAATCAATAAAAACTATATCTTTTACCCTCTCAATCTTTATATTTTCTTTAAGGGAGATATCCAGATCTTACAGTTGGCGCCGTCTGTGGGGAATAAAAGATACAAGTTGGCGCCGTCTGTGGTGAATAAAAGATACAAGTTCGCCTACTCACGCTGGAACTCGAAGATGGCTTCGAAGAAACAGCCTGCTGACAGTACCATCATCCAACCTCCCGTCCTTAACTCCCAACGGGACGGGGAAAACCCCAGCGCACAAGTGATCGGGTTGGGCTCCAGCCCACTAGAGCCCAGTGGCAGTTCATACGTTCCGCAGCACGGGACCCCTAACGAGTCCGGCCTCCCAGCAGCACGGGGCTCTCTCAACACGATGGGCATACTCCCACCCCCTCCACCTCCACCCGCACCGACAGATATCACCGCCATCCTGCAGTCCTTCATGGCACAGATGGACAACAAGCTGAACGAGCAGATCGGGGCTATCAAAGCTCAGCAGGTCGCGTACCTCGAAACCCTACGCAAACCCCGACCTGACTCTCTACCACGGGACACGGACAACACCGAGACCGGCACTCCCAGAGACATCCACATATCCCCGTGCACCACCGCGTCGGGAGCTAAGCGCTTTTTCTTCGGCGAAACACCAACTTCAGCACGGGGCTCAACACGTTAAAGATTCCAGTACCCGACCTAAACACAAGTCCCGATTGCCCGCCCCGGACTCCACATCCGAACAGACTCCCGAGCTCGCCGAGCTAACCCGTCTACACCAGAGGATCAACGAAATCAAGTCCCAAGTTCATCACGCGACTAGCTCGGCCCCTGAACTTGAGCAAGTCCTGAAGCTCACTCAGCAGACACCGTTCGCCGAATGCATCACCCGCGTGCCTCTACACGACACTGTGAAGCTCAAACTCCCAGCGTCGTTCGTCGGCAACACAGATCCGCAGAAACATCTCATGACCTTCAACAATGCCATGAACCGCGCCCGGTTCTCACCCGAGGAGCACAACGCTTCCTTTTGCCAGTACTTCGTGGAATTCCTTGCTGGAAACGCACTCCAGTGGTTCTCCAAACTCAGGCCAAACTCTATCGAGACGTTCGCTCAGCTCTTCCTGGAATTCCTCCGACACTACTCCATGTACATCGAACGAGGGGCAAACACCTCCGACCTCTGGACCTGCATCCAGGAAGAAAAGGAAACCCTCCGCGATTATATCGGCCACTTCCGCACTATCGTCTCCCGATGTGACCCAACAGATGATTACACTATAATCGCGCTCAAACTAAACCTTCGCAAAAACCAGAAGTTCTATGACAAGATCGCAACCGGAAAAACTCAATCCCTCGATGAACTCCTCCACAAAGCTACCAATTTCAGGAACGTGGAGGACACACAAGTCAAGGAGGATGAAAAACTTGCAGCAAAGAAGAAATCAACAAGCTCCCGACCTAAGGAGGACGAATACCAGGAACCCCGCCAACACTA